TTCTGCATTACTCATACGTATTGTACTGTACCGGTACAGCACTTGGTCTCTTGAAAACTTGAGTTTTAGTACTGGCTAGTCCGAAACGTGTCCGGTCCCAAGGGTTTCGGATAATAGCTTGTGTACTGTATATATATATATATTTATATAATATATATTTTGTCTATATATATATGTATATATATATATAAATTAGAAGTAAAAACTCACGGACACCCGTGCAGATGTATACTTTTTACTGCATTATGTATGTACTGATAAGTAACTAGTGGGGACCCGGCATTGCATAATTGAATAGAACGTAACGTAAGGAAACTTAACTTAATGTACAGTGAGCAAAACATTTGAGGGCTATCATGAATTATAAACGCCATTCTTAATTTCTTACGTACATTAATTGTGAGGGTGTGGAAGGAAAATGAGAAGAGATTATGGAGAATATGGGAATATCCTATGCTGAAGAAAATTTTATGCCCTAGGCTCTAGGTGAAATGCTACTTCAATGAATACAGTAGTAGTGCAATGATTAAAACATATATAGTACAAAATATCATATAACCCTAATATCGGAATTCTATAAAGAGGTTCACTACCTTATCTGAAACTCCTTTTTCTGGAGCTATTATTAGAAAGGCTTTCCGTCAGGAGGCACATGACAGCGGGGTGAATAACGGCGGGGGGACAAAGACAGGTCTGTCATTGTATAACCTTAAGATTATCGATCTACATTACATTCTTTTCATACTATTGTTGACGTGGTGTGTGAGACCCCCGCGCTGGTGGTGCTGTCGTAGTCTGTGTCTGTGATGTGTTTGTGGTGGATTTTTCCATCGGTGCGTGAGACCCCCGCGCTGGTGGTGCTGTCGTAGTGCGTGTCTGTGATGTGTTTGTGGTGGATTTCTCCATCGGTGCGTGAGACCCCCGCGCTGGTGGTGCTGTCGTAGTGCGTGTCTGTGATGTGTTTGTGGTGGATTTTTCCATCGGTGCGTGAGACCCTCGCGCTTGGTGCTGTCGTAGTGCGTGTCTGTGTTGTGTTTGTGCTGGATTTTTGGGACCATGCTACAGCTCGTATATCGTTTATCGGTGTTCGCGTAATGCTAGGAAGATCGTCGACCACAATCTTGTTAGCGTTTGTTGAGAATGCTTCTCGTTGTCCATTAGGCTCTGCGTTACGTTGGCGTGGACCCGAGCGAGGAGCAGCGAGAGGAGCTGAGAGCTCGACTGTGTGTCGATGACAAAGGCTGTGTCAAATACGGAGGTAACAACGCCGAGCATTGCAGCAAGCATCTAGGGGGCATTGTCCGATCGATAGTAAAGTTGGGTGGAAACTCGAGTGCTGTGATAAATCTTTGAATTAATATGAGGGTACAGGTTGACCATGGAAATTCTGGCAATCTTCCAGTATTACCTGACCATCAGTGCGTGGTCTTCATACGGTAGCCTCTGATGCTTGCCTAAACACTTCCTAACCATCAGCTGTACATCTCCCACTAAGTCTAAAATGCCCTTGGATGCTAGACAACAATACAGTAATTCGTGCGTACCACCACCAATGGCGGCTTGGTAACCTGCGGTTGGTGTGTGTGCTGAATTGAAATTTCACCTCCTTGAAACTGTCCAGACCATCAGGGGAACCCAATCATCGATTGCCGAAATTTCGATGGCCGACATATTACTACTTACTAGTCACGATAAAACTATTGTTTTTTGATGGCAGCTTTGAACAACTGTTAGAACTAGGGCTAATCATAGGCCTAAATTGTGGTTCCAACGAAGGTCACTCAGTGGTTTTTCTAAGCATCGATGATTAATTGACCTCCGCATCATTTCAGAATTTGTCGCGATGGTTAAAGAACTCTTCGAGAAGGATTTCAACCTAAGTGCGTTGAACTTTTCCTCTCTGCTCAGTGAGTCAACGTTCTGCACGACAGCACAGGATGCTGGTCATCTAGCCGCATCATCATCTCAGGTACCACTCACATGAGTAAATGCCCAAAGCCATATTATATCCAATCTTAATCCAGCCATCTGGCCATTGCAAATTAAAACCGTCCAGCAGTTTTCGGTGCGGTGAACGATGTAGATCTCGCCGTGGCATTGTTGCATTTCTATGTGGCTTATAATGCGTTCAATCCTAATTTTATTGACCTTTGCATGTTTTTCTCTATCCGAGGAGCGCATCGCAGTCTCTGAGGTCACGCAAGGCTGAACCTGCAATTGGTTTACTATCGTGAATTACACGGTGTACGGATGAAGAAAGTGTTTTAAATTTCGTGGTCGTGGAGTGCGTAATAACGCGCTCGAGCGACCGTCTGTCACGGCCCAGCGCTCGTTCTGCACGTGCGGGCCGCCAGCGCTCCGCGACGCGTCTCACGTCCCCGCGTCTCGTATCCTGCGTGCGGTTGCCGGCCGCGCTCACGGCGACGCGTCTCTCGCCCGCGTCTCGTGCGCGGTGGCCGCCAGCCTCCAGCGACGCGCTCACCGTCCGCGCTCGTTCTGCGGCGGCGCGCCGCGCCTGCCAAGCGAGCGTCTTCACGCCCCGCGTTCTCGTGCCGCGCGTGGGCGCGCGTCTCCCGCGACGCGTCTTCACGTCCCGTCTCGTGCCGCAGCGTAGGGCCGCCGTCGCCTCGGCGATCGCGTCTCCGCCCGTGCGTCTCGTTCTGCCGCGGCGGGCCGCGCGCGCGCTCCGCGCGACCTCGTTCTCAACGTCCCGAGGCGTCTCGTATCTGCGCGCGCGGGGGCCGCCACCGACTCGCCGACCGGTCTCACGTCCCGCTCTCGTTCCTGGCAGCGGGCCGCCTACCTCGCGACGCGTCTCACGTCCCCGCCTCTCTCTGCGTGCTGGGCCCGGCGCTCGCGAAGCTCCTGCACGTCCCGCGTCTCCGTTCGCGCGCGTCGGGCCACCACGCTCGCGGAAGCCGTCTCATCTGTCCCGCGTCTCGTTCTGGGCGGGCCCCACGCTCGCGAAGCGCTCAACGTCCGCGCTTATCGTTCTGCTGCGGCGCTCGCGCTTGCGAACACGTCTCCGCCCTGCGTCCGTCGCCTCGCGCGGGCGCCACCGGCAGGACGTGGGGCGTCTCACGTCCCAGCGTCTTGTCTGCGGCAGGTCGAGACGCAGTATACGTCGCAGGGATACGTGAGCTCGCTGCATAACCACGAGAGGGCGCCTGCGCGACATCGCACGCTGAGGAAGGCCTGGTGGAGGCGCGGACACGTGCGTGCCGTGCTAGCCGCGCCAGGAGCTGCTCTGTGTCGATCTGTTAGTGCTGTCTGCCATGTCTGCAGCTGTACATGATTAGTCACGTTATAAGATTATAAGAAACAAATCGAGAAACACGAGTAAACGTGCCTCAGTGCTGTTGTCTCTGATGGTTTGTGGCTAACTTGTATATGACATATCACTAATGTTGATATCGTTATCAATATTGTTACACTATTGAGCTAATACATCATATTATATGAAATGCATATGTATCTGTAAGAAATATTATATGTATCAAACATATAAAAAGAGTCGGTGGATTAGAAACAATATCACATGGCAGGCAAAGTACAATATACTGCGTTTGGGTTGCCCAGGTTCACATGACACACACGAACGTTGCATATGGTAACTGCATTAGTGCATGTAACAGTAAGCAATATACAGGCCAACATTACCAGGGGCATTTGTAAGCGTAACCTATAGTGTGTTGCGCTGCTGCAAGCATCACAGGAGGCGATAGCAGAGACGCGAAGCCGCTGCGTGCACGAGTGACGGATGTCCGAGGCTGCTGCCAGACAGTCCCGCACGTCGAGACCGACTACGATCAATACGTCTCCATTCTGGAGAGCGAGCTGCCAAGCTGGCAAGCCCGATCAAATCGCAGCAGGTACCACACGTCACGCACTACGATCTCTGTCAATACGTAGTAAAATCTAAGACATAACCGACTTGTGAACTTTGATTTACTGATGTTAGCAACTGCACGGTTCTGCACGGGAAATCATAGATATACCTTATACCCTACGTGAGCTCGCACATAGCGTAAAATATCACTTCACACTGAATTTTCAAAAAATCCAACGTTGAGCACATTTTCTGGCTCAATAAAAGAACATTTCGTGATGTTTGCATACTGAAATTGCCACATAGGTGTATATGGGCTTTTTGTACTAAGTTTATCGCACTTTAACCGCGAAAAACTTGTCAATGATTAACATCTGTTACCGCATGTTCATCCTCTACGGTTTCGTCTTGGTGCGATCATTTCCCGTGGATGCGTTCGTTATCGTTTGCGTTGGCGTGCTTGCAAGCCAGGACAAAGAGACCAGCCGTTACGATGCGCCCATCCCGTACCGAAGCTGTCCGACATCCTAGCCCTTCTGTTAAAGGCAAGAAAAGAAAGAAAGCAAGAGCAACTACGCCGCTTGGCCCTACAATATACTACTGCAGTGTGTACGAGTTGCAAATAAGTGCTCAGGCAGTCTAGGGGGACAAACGGGACGCGGCGGTATGTATCACAGTAATGGCACCTGTTACCTGTTATTCAACTTGTGCTAAAACATTTATTTACCATAAATATAAAATCTACTGCAATGGTAGCAATTGTTTATTGTTGTTTGTTTTTCTTTTTTTTCTTGTGAAAACGCTACTTTAACGGGGAAGTAGATGAATGAAATATATATTGTGGGTTGCGAAAATTGCGATCCTTGATGTGTTCATCCGTCACTAGCCGAAGCCACGGTAATGCAGGATGAAAAGGACGAGGTGATGGTCTCAAGCAAGCTTGGCGAGAAAGAAAGCGTGATCTTCTCATCGCATGGAGCCAAAGATACGCCTCACACAGATCCGAAGCCAGCCTGAAGGATGAAGTACAAACTACATTACACCACTGTCCAGCACATACGCTAAGATTTTATCGCCAGACTTACGGTAAGACCTACGTTTTAATATAAATCCAGCATTGCATCAGTGAAACGAAATAACTACACTATCAGTAAAGCTATTAAACCTAAATCTACGTCTATACTTATAATTTTACTGTAATTCTCGCTACATATATCAATGCATGCCAATTATGCAGAAGCGTAGCAGTATTAAGCAACTCTTCTAATACTCTAGTCCTAATCAATTCTATCATGTCTGTCTTCAGCACTGCCGCTTGGTTTCCGACAAGCCCATCCCTTGAATTCGGTCCACGCAAGAAGAAAGCAGACGACACTCAATGCGTCTGTGACCCGGCTTAGATGTAGCCTGTCCGCCGTCCTACGACTACAGGCTCATTGCTGCACGTCTGGATGAGTGTTAGGAGAGAGGATGCTTGCTATCTAATGACGCATCATCTGTATATGCAAAAACAGAAAAAGTCCATGGAATCGGGAATCGCGTATACTCGTTGGAGTGGTTCCCCATAAATGAAGTGAAATAGTTCACATATTGTCTCCTTGAAAAGTGAACAAGGCTACATTTCCTATTATATGCCCTTCATTTTGAAACGTGTCAAAGGTACTAGCCGAAAATACAGTTTTTACTGCCTATTCTGCTTCAACAGTTAAGTCATGCCAATTATAAAAGACAGTGAAATAATGTGTTTATAAATGTCTTACCACATCGCTTGGTAAAATGTGGCATAAAATCCAGCGTGTCCGAAAATCTTCAAGCTATCATTGCTACTATTGCAAGCCCATAACCATTGCAATATTTCTGCTGTTAGTCAGATCGGTGTCAATTTGCACTGAATAATATTTTTCTATGCCCCCGAGTGTCTTTGTGAAAGACTCCAGAAAGACAGAACGATCATAACACATGGTCTATGATAGCAGTCCGCTTGGTAGTTCCATTGAACTTATGCTACAAAGTAATTTCAAACGAAGTTCTTTTTAATTATGCCAGGTGAATGCCCTGCTCATCTTTTGCTGTAAAATGTATTATCTGGTTCATTCTTTATATTATGAAAGATCCAATCTGATAAATTTTTTACTTATACCATATTTATATATAGTGACGTATATTGAATTTATATATACGCATGATACTATTTCTTCACATATACTTTTAGAAATCATGTCTGTGCTTGTTAGGAAACTGTCGTTGTTTTCTCCAGCAATCGTGTAAGTATAGTTATATGAACTAGATATATTACCGCTAGTTTACCTTTTAAATTTGTGGCTTGTGTTATTATATAGACCTAGCAGTCCCTTTTTCATCAGATTTCTATTTTCTGAATAATTTGTAATCCACTATTTCTTATTTCTGTCAGCAATTTGATTTGTGCAATGTATTAGGATATAAATCTTAACCTGGTTAATTTACGGTGCCGGTTATTTATACAATGCTCTCTCTGTCATGGAAATTATTATACGTACAGTATAAACTCATGCAGTCACACACCCATCCAAAAAAATGTACGCCTCATTTGGAAAATTCCCCCCCCTTCTATTATCCTGTGCATATTTTTATGTACTTTACTTGATTTTAATTCCATTTGTGACAATAATGCTGGTAATTTTGTATGTTGGACTTTTTCATTTTTTAGCTCATTGACATATCGATCAGCTTTGTAGAATCGCATAGCGTGCGTCCGTCTGTGCGTCATCACAGTCTTGGCACAAATCTAAAAACGGCTCGAACGTAACGGATTCGAAGGCGGACGTGGGGGCATAAATCCGAAACGGTTGGGAATATCGAAGCTGGGGGGTCAAAGATCAAAGGTCAAAGAGGTGAAAAGAAGTGGAAATTCCTCCTTAACCTAAGGTAATAGAGGAATGCAGAATGCGGCAACAAATCTAAAACGGCGCAACTGAGGCTGCGGGAAGCGTTGTATAGCTAGTGTAGCGAAAAGCCATCACTAGTGCGAAATTGGAGGACACGAGGTCAAAAGGTCATGGGGCACAGGGCAGATTTAGACATTTTTCTGAGCCGACTGGTCTGACGGAGCGATTGAAAAACTTTTTTGTATTGCAGCGGTGACCTACCATTATCACCCTTATATTGAAAGGGCGCATGAAATGTGCTTCCAACCTGACGTGAGAAGAGTAAGTGTCTATACCTTTTGAACCTTCAACAGGAGGTAAACATGGATTTGTTTGACTGCAACAAAGGAATGAACTCTTTTTTATAGAGTCCCCCCCACAGACACTATCACCTAACTAGCCCGCCGCATCGACGCATATCCATAATACCATGATTAATATAGCGAATCATAAAGTTACACAGCTGTACTTATTATGTACTACTATAGGATATACAGCAAAGCCTATCATAGATTTTAGATCTGTAGAGTATCTCTAAATATATCTCTGAGCGCGAACTCAGTCGGTGGGGGGGTCGCAGGATTCGGTTGCCAGTGAGTTTATCAGAAGAATACTGGCTATCAGTAACTTCAGTTTAGCGCTTGTCGCTCTCGGCACTTTTGTTATTGTCGCGTTAGTAAACCCTTTTTTAACCGAAAACTTGGTTCTTCACAATAGGCATAGGTTAATGTTATCAAAATCTCTACAACGATGTTAATTTCCCGCCCGTAATAGTAGGTGACAGACAATAATTATCTAATCCAATCCTTTACAACTCGCGCGCTCTAAGAGAGAAGAGATATGGTGAGCGCAGACCAGGGTACTAGGTAACGAAATGAGAGGCGAGCAGAGAGAAGGAAAAAATCTGGGAGAGAATGGAAGAGGAGAGGAAAGGGTGGGCGTGCAAAGGTGGCGAACATGGGATAGTAGAGGGACAGCGAGAGAGACTAATAATGACGAGGGAAAGGTATAGGGATGGACAGAGAGGGGGAGGTAGAGATTCTACATCATAGGTATTCCATGTTGCTTTTGGGTAAGGTGCTGGTGTGACAGTTCTGAAGATTTTAGTTTCATCATGCGTGCGTAGTGTGTCTGTGTCTTGTGTCTGTGCTGGTCTGAGGCGCGCGCGTGATTGTGTGTGCGCGGCG